AAAAACAAACAAACAAAAACTCACTCTCAATTTCAAGCTGTACTATAGAGTTGCAGTGACAAACAGCATGGTATTGGCATAAACACAGACACATTGATCAATGTGATCGAATGGAAGACCCAGACAGACAGACATTCACACACCTACGGACACCTGTGTTTTGTAAGCCAGAAATACATACACACTGGAAAAAAAGATACTGCTTGTCTTCAACATATGGTGCTTGTCAAACTGGATATGTTCATTCAGGAGAATGCAAATATAGCCGTATATATCATCCTGTACAAAACTCTAGTCCAAGCAGATCAAAGACCTCAACTACACCCTGAAAGACTGAACATGATAAAGGAGAAAATAGGAAATAGCCTTGAACTCATTGGCACAGGAGACAACTTTCTGAACAGGCACTAAGATCAACAATTAACTAATGGAACCTCAGGAAACAGAGAAGTTTCTGTAAGGCAACGGACACCCACAATAGAACAAAGGGGCATCCTATAGAATGGTAAACATTATTTTTACCAGTTGCAACCCCAACATCCAAATGATTAAAATGGTTTAAACCGGTCTGAACTGGATTGAACTGGTTAGAACCGGTTTAAACTGGTCTGAACTGGTTAGAACAAGAGGGAACAGGTTTAAACAATTCAGAACCAGATTGAACCTTTTTTAATCGGGCAAAACCAGTTTTGTTAGTTCAGAACCATTGTGAACCAGCCAAAACCGGTTTAACACTGATTAAACTAGTTTTAATCGGCCAAAAACAGTTTGAACAGGTCCGAACCAGTTTGAACCAGTCAAAACCGATCTGAACCGGACCGAAACGGTTGGAACCGGATTGAACCAGTCTCAAGGTAAGCAGTGGGGCTCTCTTACCACTGATGCCCTGGTGAGAAGGGACTTGCTTTTCCTGGGGCCTATTTGAGAATACAAAAGACCCAAAATATATATATATATATATGATTATACAGTCAAATGAAATAATCCTCCTAACTTCCCACAGATATATGCACCTAGTAGATGGAAAGTTTTCACAAGACAAACACATGCACAATCAGTGGGAAACACTCAAATGCACTCTTAGGGAAGAAATGAAATGACTCATGAGAGAAATTACAAACAGGAGCATAGGATCCACAGCCAAGTTCCATGGCATGGCCAGGTGGAGTTCCCTGTCAACACGCACTAGGTCAGCCTGTTGAATATTCGTTATCCTGCTGTATTTCTCATGGCTCTTGACAGCCAAGTAGGTTAGACTATCTGACCAGTGACCCCAGAAATTCCTGTCCCTGCCTCCCCAGCACGGATTGTAAGCATGTGCACCACGCTTGGGTTCAGGGTGTTGAACTCAGGTTCTCATGTTTGCAGAGGCCAGAGAGGGTCAAAGAACACCCAGGGGCATTGGGATATTGAGAAGATGGCACCGGCCTTCGTCATCCCTCCATGTTTGCTGTAAGCTACAACTTAGGCAGCAACTCTGCTAAAACCTGTATATACCATCCTAAAGGATCAGAGGGAGGGAGAAGGAAATGGCTGCCTTTGGCCAGCAAATATCCTGCTATGAGCCAATCCCCCCACCCAGTGAAGCATCAGGACGACTTCTCCAGGCAGGAGAGGAAAAAAACAGAGCCTGGGGGTCCAGTGCACTACTGACTCTGCCTCCATCCATGCACACCTCAGACTCTACTATCTAGATCATTGGTCCAGAGTGGAGCAGGGATGGCCGTGGGATACAGGTGAGGGCTGACAGCTGTGGGTAACGGACTGTGGGATGAACTGTCTCCCTAGTATGGATACACACTAGACCATGGAGCTCTCCGTAACTCCGGATCCACGTATCTGGTGTCCTTTTCTGATCTCCTCAGGCACATGAGATACACACAAATATACCCCATGAAAAAACTTTATTAAAAAAAAAAACAAGCCCTTTGGACCAAAAGCAACCTAGGCAGGGAAGGACTTATTTGACTTAAGCTTCCAGGTCACAGTTCACCTTTGAAGGAAGCTGAGGCAGGAACTCCTCTAAGGACTGGAACAGAGACCACAGAAGAACGCAGTCTGCTGGCTTGTCTGCTCACAGGTCTGTGCTGTTAGCTTTCTTACACAGCGCATGAGCGCTTGCCAAGGGAATGGTGTCTCTCACAGTGGACTGGACCTCCTGTGTCAGGTAACAACCAAGACAATCCCCAGAGGCATGTCCACAGGCCAATGTGATCAGGGTAATCCCTCATGGGAGGCGTCCTTCTCAGGAGAATCTGGGCTGTGTCAAGTTGGGAATTAATGCTGTCAATTTTCTTGACCTCCCCTGACTCCTCCCTTTCTATGCTCACACTACAGCTCTGTGATGGTGGCTGTATTAGTCACTTTTTAATTGTTGGGGATGGCTGCTCCTAGGCTTTCCCTGGGGCCCTGAGGTATGGAGAGGAATGTAGTTCCTTGCATAACCCCAGGAACACGCTGGGCAGTCAGGAACAGCCTCGGGTGGGATTCTTGGGGAAGCTGTGGCTTCTGACCCTGGGACCCCAACTCTTCCCCACCAAGGGGCTGTGGTCATCAGTCCCAGGATCTCTAGGTGCTCTCTCTGTAACCACATGAAATATCTGGTACAGCATCGTCTGATCAGCTTCCTGCTGTCTGCATCACAGTGTCTGACAGCTTTCTGCTGACACTCTCCGATTTCCCCTCTGCAAACCATATGCAAAATGTTGTGCTACTTAATAAATTTGCAGGGCAGAAGTTATCAGCTCCTGGTCCTATCTTTCCTGTCTTCTTCATTTTTCTCGTCCAGGTCCTTCCTCTCATGACCCTGCACTGAAGCCTGCTGGCCCAGGTCACACCATGACCACGGCACCTTAGGAAAGGAAGGGTTCGTTTGGGGTGACTGTTCTAGAGGGTTGAGTCCACGGACAGTGAATCATGGCAGCATGCAGCAGGCAAGAACAGGATGCTCCAAGCTCACACTTTGGTCCATAAGTAGAGAGCAGAGAGAACAAACTCAGAGGAAGGTAAAGCCTTAGGCTCTTAAAGCCGACCCCCTGTGACACACTCCCTCCAGTAAGGCCACACCTCCTAAAGTGCCCCAAACAGCACTACCAACTGGGTACCACGTGTCCAAATACCCGAGACTGTGGGGACATCTCACCAGACCACTAAAGGTGGACCCGTCAGCGAGCCTCCTGGTGAATTTTAAGGTGCATGGTAAGGCAGTGACACTGAAATCAAGGTCTGAGTTCAAATCCCCAGTGCAGTCCTTCGTCTGAGTGTGATCAGGCTCACTGTCCCTCTGCTGGACAGGAGGATGGAGAAGGCAGAGGCTGCTGTGTACCACCTCCTACAGCAAAGCCATGTGCACGTCATTCTTGAGCACAACTCAGGATTGAGAGGGGCAGGTCAGCAGGAAAAGGACTTCAGACAGCTCTGGCCTCAGTCTGATGGTGACTGAGGGAAGCAAAGGCATGTGTGGTTTACACACACGACCCTCACGCATGTTCAGATGCCATGGTGCAGGCATGAAGTTGTTCAGGGAGTAGAGCTGGGACATCCTGAGCTCAGGGTGTTTGATGAGGCTTCATGGAGGGGTTTTCTATGTGAAGCCAGAGCAGAGGCTGAGGCAGGGGATGACGGTGTCTGCAGGAGGCTCTAGGGTTGTGGTTGCAGAGACAGCACAGGCCAATGCACTTTGGAACCTTCGGAAGGCTGCCCCAGAGAGAGCTATGTGGACAGCGGAGGCCAGGGACAAGCCACAGCTAGTGGTCATGGGAGACTTCAGTAAGAGAGAGATTAGACAGGAGAGAGTGAGTGATTTTCCACTCACGTGATCAGGCCAGGGGTCTCTGTAAGCTGGGAATGCATTACAGCTGTTCACTCTAGCGCCTGCCCACTTGGGACCTCCACGGTAGGGGCACTGGCAACCAAGGAGTTGCTGTAGATAGCTCCTCACCTCCTGGGGCCTGCATGGCTTCTGAGGTTCTTTGCTCCAAACTGCAGGCCGGCTCTTCCTCCTTCATCTGCTCACCTTTCTTTCTGGTGCTCCCAGGGGACCAAGAGCCAAAGTAGGTTGGCTGGGGACTCTAGGAGGGGCACAGGAGAGGTGCCAGACAGGTCAGGGATGCACCTGCCTTGGAGAGGCAGCAGCTTCCAGAGCTAAGCACACACAGCCTGGACAGCCCTGCACGAGGTTCGGTGTCTTGTCCAGAAGGAGCAGGTAAAGCGACCCTGTGGCCGCGTTGTGCGCTCTCCAGAGCTGTGTGTACAGTGTGGGTGCAGACGCCTGCCTTGCTCTGCTTACAGTAATGGGTGCTCTCGGGTCTGCCCGCCGCATCCTCGGACTCCTTGCTCCATGCTGGGAGGGGTGAGGAGGCAGAAGTCGCCTTTGCTAGCCAGCCAGCTGGCGAAAGTCACCTTCCCAAGGCCCGAGTCCCTCCTAGACACCTCCTTGCCACAGACTGACTGACACTGGTGTCTAAAGGCTTAGCGCCGTTCTGCCACCTTGGTCAAAGGCTCACCCTGCCTCTCAGACCTCCTCACGAGGTGGCCTGGGCTTCCTCAGGCCTGTAGTACTGTCCACAACTCTGTCCCTTTCCTAGGCTGAGTCGTTCACAAGTCCTGGTCGGTCTGGGTCAGCCCTGTGCCCTGGCTGCTCCATGACATCGTCATTTAAAGGGGCTTCCCCATTTACATCCTACGGTTTGTAAATTCCTTTTGTTTATGTGTTTATTTGACACGGGGTCTCATGTAGTCCTGGCTGAACTTGCTGAGCAGCCAGGGACAAACTTGACCTCACACCCTCCCGCCCCCACCTCCCAAGCGCTAGCATTAGACTCATGGCCCGCCCTGCCTCGTGCTCATCTCTCAATAGCCTGTAGCTACAGGTGTTTTTGTGTTTTGTTTCTTGGTTTTTTGTTTGTTTGCTATTATTATCGTTGTTGGTTGTTTTGCTTTTGGTAGCTCATGCAATATCAGTTGTATTTATTTACTTTAAATCTCTCATGTGTGTGCAAGTCAGGACAACTTTTGGGAGCTCAAACTCAGGCTGTCAGTCCTGGTGGCAAGTGTCCTCTCCTGCTGAGCCACCTTGCTGTCCTGTGACAGTTAACTGGAATGATGAGCACGGTCTTTCGAATGATGCTCAGCAGTGAGTGTGGCACGTTGGGAAGCTGGGTATATGGGGTAACAGGGGGCCTGGGGCTGCCTCCTCTCTTCCCTCCTCCTGAGCCCTCTTCCTTCCTACCCAGCTTTGTGCTCTCCCACCCCTCAGCAGGAGTGCCCATCCCTTCTTCTCAGCCCCGCCAGTTCACATGGAGCTTTCTGGTCCCCGGGTGAGCCAGTCAGCAAGGTTCTGACCCCTGAGGGCAAGGTGGCCTTAGAGCCCTAGCCAGGTCTCCAGAGGGCCTCTGGTTCTGTCACCTGCTGTGAGTGGGAGCCAGACTTGGGTGCAGAACAGAAACTTGAGGCTAAAGAGGAAGTGGGGGACATGCGGGTGGTGCTGAGGAGAAATGAGCAGACTCTTACTTCACTATGGTTTCCTCCTGGGATTTCTCAGCTTTCCTCACCCCGGTCTTACGAGGCAGGAGACTGCAGCTCCTCCGTGAGCCTTTATCTGGTTCAGTTCAGGAGCCCAGACACAAAGCCTGTGGCTGGAGGATCCACGGGGCCACGCAGGCCTTGCTCACCTTCTCTCTTGTCCACGGCGGTCTCTGCTCCCTGAGCAGTTCGTCCCACACTGGCTGTGGTGGCTGCCTGGGTCCTGCCCTGCCCTGGTCTCCTCCTCACGGCATCCCTGCCCCCTTCCCTGCTCCTCTCCCCAGCTCAAGAAGAGGACCTATGGCCTGGGAGGCCTCATGCCTGCTATCCCCCATCCTGCTGGTGCTCCTGGCCTCAGGTGAGGACGGGGGACGAGGGTGATGGAGGGAAGGAACCGGGAGAAGGTAGGGAAGGGTTGGGAGGTGTGCACCAATGGGGCGCTGGGCTTGGGAGGGCAGAGCACATGGGGTGTTGAGGCCAGCGGCTGGCTCTAATCTCATCCCAACATAGACAGAAAGAGGGTCACTCCCTGAGAAGGGGACCCACCTCCTAGCCTTGCTTTGGCTGGGGGCTCTCTGACCTGGAGGGTCTGTCTGTCCTCAGGCTCCTGGGCACAGGGCACAGAATCTCTTCAAAGAGTGGAGGGAACGAGGCTTTCCGTGAAATGCTGGTATGATCCCAGCCAACGCTTAAAGGAGAAAATCTGGTGTGTGAAAACACCAGCAGATACTTGTAACATCTTAGTGTCGAGTCCTGCAGGCAGAGATGCTCAGGGAGGACGATCCTTCATCTGGGACAATCCTGACTCTAACTCCTTCACTGTCATCATGACTGCGTTGAGGACGACAGACTCGGGTTCCTATCACTGTGGGATCCTTGAAAGCCGCAGAATGTTCAGGATTCTCAGAAGCTTCAGCCTAGTGGTGTCCAAAGGTGAGCGTCCCCCTTCTATGTGGCTCTCAGCCGTCTGGAGTCACAGGCTCCAGGGTTGGAGAGGATTCTAGGAACTGCTTCCTCTAGTAGCTGGAAGCTGTGGTACAGGGTAGAAAGTCCTTCCCCCCCCCACCGCCCCACCGCCACCAAGGCCACCAGATGGTTCTCAGGGCAGAGTCAGCCCTAGACTCCAGGCTTCTGGGCCACTCTTACTGGTTATTCCTAATGCTGCTGCTAACAGAAATCTGATTATTGAAGGTCCTTATCACTTCCCCCAGCTGTCACTATCCTGAACATCCTATGCCTGTAATCCCATCAGGAACCTTCTCTCCAGGGGTGGTGGGCTCCATCACATGAGAGAGAGCTAGACAGAGAGTCTCATGGGAGACTTAGTGGGGAAAGCTTGGACATGTGGGTCCTTGTTCCGGATCTGCCCTTGCTGCCTGGAAAGCCCTGAGGTCTGGGAAGGTGGCTCAGAGGCTGCTGCTGCTGACTTGAGTCTCATGTGTATCTCATGCTGAAGCCTGCAGTGGCAGAGGGATTTCTGGATTAGTCTGTCATGTTCTCATGTTCACAGTGTGCATGGCTCCTCCCAGCTCTCCCCTGTTGCACAGAATGTCCTGCCCTTCCGTCCAATGCGTGACTGGAGGTTATTTTCAGGAAAGCTTTGGCCTAGGCACACTCCATGTAAGGGAGGCATTAGGTTTGACCTTTATATGTTCAGACATAGTGGGCGCAGGCCTCGGGAGATGGCTCAACCAGTTAAGTTCTTGCCATGTGTGATGGTTTTAGTTGTCAGTGTGCAGAACCTAGAATCACCATGGAGACAAGCCTCTGGCCACACCTGTGAGGTAGGAAGACCCATTCTAAAGTGGGCGGCACCATGACCTAAGCTTGGGGTCCTGTACTCCGTATAAAAGGGAAGGTGACCCAAGCACATGGCTGCTGCTCGCTGACTGTGGCGTGGCTGCTTCCGGTCCCTGTTGCCTTGACTTCCTTGTGATGTACTTACTGAACTGTGTGCCACAACAGACTCTTTGTCTCATAGGGTGCTTCTGACACAGTTTTTAAAAATCATCAATATGGAAAACTTACCCGAGACAATGTGCGAGTTCCATTTGCAAGCGCACATTAAGGAAAAAGCTGGGCATGGAAGCACATGCTTGCAAACCCAGCACTGGGGAGGGTCCTTGGGGCTCACTGACAAGGTCCTCATCAGTGAGAAACCCAGTCTCAAAAGTTAAATAAAATAAAAATGAAATGAATTACACCTGAGTAAAGACATCTAAAATTGCCTTTTAGCCTCACATGCACACATTTACATGCACACACGTACACATACATATGAACATGCACACATACACATGTGCACATACATATAAACATGCACACGTACACACAAACATGTATACATGCATATAAACATGCACACATATACATACACATGTATATATGCATATAAACATGGATACATACACATGCACACACATGTAACACACATGCACACATACGCATACATATACAATGCATACATATACATGCACATGCACACATACATACATACACATGAACACATGCACATGCATATATACTCATGCACCCAAACATATGCACATATACACGTGCACACAGATGCACCTGCATACACACAAACATGCACATACATGCATATAAACACACATTTTAAAAAGAACACTGGAGGCTGGACAGATGGCTCAGTGGTTAGAGTGCTTGCTGCTCTTACAGAGGACCTGAGTTCAGTTCCCAGCCCCTTCTTCAGATGGTTCACCACAGCCTGCGACTCGAGCTCCAGAGGACCGGATACCGGATACCTCTGGTCTCCATGGGCACTGCACTCAGGTGCACACGTCACCCCCACAGACACTAATGAGAAGTAATATTAATTTAGGATGCGAGAACACAGGAAGCAGGAGAGGCCCTGGGACGTGAGGCTCCGCTTACACTCACATGCTCTGTGGCCCCATTCACAGCAGGGCACCACCCTCCCTTGAGTGGGTCCCTCCTCTTCCGGGGCTGGAGACTGGGGTGCTGGGGCGTGAAAAGACAGATGCTGTGCTCATTAGGTCTCTTACAGCTCCAACCCCACGCACGACTTCCTGGAAGACGACAGCCCTGGCCTCTGCCACCAGCCCTGTCATTGACAGGTACAGTGGGCTCTTAGTCTTGTGTTTCTCCCCACTCTCCTGGATACAGTGTCCCAACTGTCACTCTGATAGATGCCCAGCTTTCACGGGATGGGTAGAGTCAGACGATCACTTCTGGTCATTTTATATAGGCCTCAGTTTTCCCTTCTGCAAAGTGAGATCACAGTAATATTCCTGTATTTGACTTTTTATCTTCTTCTCTCTGTCTTCCTTCCTTTCTTTTATTTTCTATTTATCATTTATTTATATCTATATACCAATCATCCATCATGTATATTACTATCTACCTATCTATCCATCATCTATTACTATACAATTTGCCTACATCTATTTTCAATCTATCATTTATTTATCTATATCTATGTATTATTATACCCGTTATCTATCATCTATTTATATCTAGCTACCAATATGTCTAATACATACATACATACATACATACATATATATATATATGTATGTATATATATCATCTCCTACCCATCTTTCATCTATCTGTCTGTCTGTCTATCTATCTATCTAGCTAGCTATCACCTATCCCTTTTTTATGATGAAGACCAAACCTGAGACCTCACATTTTCTTGACCATGCTGTGCCCTCAGCATTATATACCTTCTATTTTGGGATTGCAGTTTCATTTAATAACTTAAGCTGGTCTTTAATTCACTCTATTACACAAGGTAACTCTGAGCCTTTGGTCCTCCCGCCTCATCCTCCTGTGTGATGGGCCTGTGCCACCAGCCCAGGCTCTTGATATTCGAATCTGGGTAAATCTTTGTTACGGGAGGCTGTTCTGTGCCTTTTAAGATGTTTAACAGTGTCCTTGACCGTGCATGGCTACACACAGGTGTGTGTCGTCAGGCATTACTAGATGTCCTTGAAGGATGTGGCTGTTCCCCATTCAGTGCCACCAGCTCCTGATGCAGTGAGGATGGACTGGGGTGTCCACTGGAGGGGGGGCTTGCACACTCTCTCACCCTTGTGTATCTGTTGTGGGACTGCTTGTATCTGTACCTCCGCCCTCCTTCCAGCCCTCTCTCGGCCTTCAATATGAGCAGGGTTGTAGTAAGGGAACTGTGTTGAGTCTGGAGAAAGGCAAGGCCTACAGTTCCCGATCTCATGGTCTGGAATGTTTCCACGTCTGCTGATGGGTTTCCAGGCCCCAGGCCCCAGGCCCTTGGCCTCTGCCATCTACTTCTTTCTGAACTCAGCATCCTGAAGACAGTGGATCCCAGGGTCTTGTAGGCCACTCCTTTCCAAAGATTAAACCAGAGAACTGCTGGTGTGAGACATCCCTGGACATCTATTTGCCTATGACCTTGTCACTCGGGTCCCTTCCCTAGAGGCTGCGATAGGTGTGTTCATGTCTGCCTTCGGGTCCTTCTTTGGACCCAAAGTGGGACATGTTGGGATGCACTTAGCTGGCACAGCTGCTTGTCAGGTTCCCTAATTCTCCTGGGAGCTGACTGCATCTCACAGAGAAGGGCTGAGGTAAAGCTGAAGGATGGGACAAAGGTCCCTGAAGGAAGGAGGCTGCAACTGGCAAGTTCAGGGCCCTAAAAGGAAGTTAGGGGCAGGAGACGGAAAAGGAAAGGGACAATGGCTTGTTGCATTGTCCTGTTATGGAGACTGCAGGACCTGGTAAGGCAGGTCCAGCCACCGAACATTAAAGTTGCCCCCTGCCCAGCTGAGCAGTCTCCCCAGAAGAGGCTGGGTTGCAGAAGGACCTGTGGGAGTCATAGGCAGCATTCTGGACTCTGGCTCTCCTCACCCTGAGTCTCTTTGTTCCAAAGTCCCCCAGAGAACTGGATGTGGAAGGTCACCATTGCTGGTGTGGCAGTGACCATCCTGCTACTGCTCGGACTTGTCCTTGTGGTCCTGTACCTCAGGAATACTCGAGGAAAAGCCCAGAAAGGTGAGCCCATGTTGCTTGTTTTCTTGTCAAGGAAACTGACCTAAAAGGTAAGGTATCCAAGTGGCTCCCTTCTCCTTCACAAGGTGGCAGGCCTGGTGGCCCCATGTGAGGTGGGGGGGGACCAGGGTGGGGTGGGGGGACCAGGGTGGGGGTGGGGGGACTGTGGGGGGTGGGAGGACCGGGGGGGGACCAGTTCCACTCAGCCTTTGTGTTGGCTTACCTAAGGCACCCCAACTCCCCCTCCTATTTGCTAGCATTTTGGATCATATGTTTTTCTCAATCTTAATTTTTTTATTATTTTATTTCATGTGTATGGACGCTTTGCTTGCATGTATTTCTAGACACCACATGTGAGCCTGGTGCCCATCAGACCTCCTGGAACTAGAGCCACAGAGAGTTGTCCTCCACGGTGTGGGTGCTGGGAACGGAACCAGGGTTATCTTGAAGAGCAGCCAATGCTCTTAACTATGGAGCCATCTCTCCAGGACCTACTGTTTTCAATTTTCTGGTTAATGGTATTGAAGTGCATGCTGCTATCATTTTTAAATTTTGTTTTTCTCAGTATAAGGAAGTGCAGAGATGTATGTGGGTCAAAAAATATAAAGTAGCAACTATGTAGAATGAATGAGTCAAAGGATTTAATGTACAGCTTGAGGGCTATGAGTAAGAATAGTACATCATAGCCAGTTTTCACTGAGCGGCTTATAACTGTTCTTGCCATAGGAAGGGCATGAATGTGTTTTAACTGTCAACTTGACACATCTAGAATTACCTGGGAAGAGAATCTTAACAAAGAATTCTGTATGTCAGGTTAGTCTGGGAGCATGTCTATAGAAGGAGGGGCTATCATGATTGTTAGTTCATGTGGTAAACCTAGTCCACACAGGCAGAACCATTCCCTAGTCAGGGGGATGTGAACAGTAGAGGAGGAAAAATTGAGCTGAGAGCAAGCAAGCAGGATGTGTTATTCTTTTTGCTCTTTCTTGGTCGTGGGTGTAGTATGTCGAGCTGCTTGAGTTCTTGCCTCAGCTTCCCGAAATGATGGACTGTAATTGTCCTTTTCTGTGTCAGGGTTTTGGACACAGTAACAGGAATAAAACCAGACCAGTTAGTAATTTGAGAGGACAGACATATTTATTGTTCTACATTATTAACCATTTTGTTATCTATATTCAACACCATGTAGTATGTAATGTGTATAATATATATATATATACATACACACATACATTTTAAAGTATACACAATGATTTTTCCCCTTTGTGTGACTAAGGACAGAACTGAGGCCCCGGGCATGCTAAACACATGCTCCACCACTGAGAAGTGCCCTTAGCCCCTCCAGTAAGAATGGGGATGGTACGGGGGTATAGCTCAGTTGGTAAAGTGTAAACATGAAGACATGAAGTTGATATCCAACACCTATATAGAAATCAGAGCACCCACTTGCAATCATAGTGTTGGAGAGGTGGAGACAGGCTCACCAGCTACCCCACCAGCTTTGGGGAATCAACACACCCCAGATCCCAATGAGAGACTGTCTCCAAAGAACAACGTGGACAGTTCCCGGCGAACAACACTCAAGGTTTTCTTCTGACTTCTATACACATGTGCTCACATGTACACACATGTCCATGAATATGCAACCCACACACACACTTACAAACACACACACACACACACACCCCAAAGTGAGTGTGGTACAAAGGGAAAAATTGTTTTCCTTAACTTTTTTTTGTTTTGTTTCTTGAATCAAGTTTTCTCTGTGTAGTCCTGACTGTCCTAGAACTCACTGTGTAGACCAGGCTGGCCTCGAATGCAGAGATCTGCCTACCTCTGCTTCGTGAGTGTTAAAATTAAAGGCATGTGACACTACCACCCAGCTTCCTCCAGGCTCTTTTTGTTTATTTGTTTGGTTTGGTTTCTTAAGACAGGGTTTCTCTGTATTATTTTGGAGCCTGTCCTGGCACTAGCTCTGTGGACCAGGCTGGTCTTGAACTCACAGAGATTCACCTGCAATTGCCTCCTGAGTGCTAGGATTAAAGGTGTGTACCACCAACACCTGGCTTCCTTCGGGCTCTTAAAGGACTTTTTAATCCTTGAAGTTCTGAGCTTTTAGCACTAATCCTATATGATCTCTGTAGCCTTCCGGTGACTTCTGTGTCCTTTGCTGCTTTGCTTTGTCCTCTGTGTCCTATGTACTTATTCTCCATGTGTCTTCCAGATATTTCTGGGGACAACAAGGTTAAAATGTTCAAGTGGATTAGCGTGCTCCTGGAGCTTGTGAATATTCAAGCTCTTAAAAAAATCCTCAGGGAAGAGAGGATTTCAAAATTCTATAAGCTTATTTTCCAAATGTAATGCAATCAGTTTAGTGGGTTGCTGTGACATGTTTAGAAAACAACATAGGGACAGAAGAATACCCAGACTCTGCACATGTGGTCTCACGGAGTTTTTCTTTAGGGGTATGTGTGAGTGTGCACACAGGGGTGAGGGAGAGAGGGTGCATTTGTAGGAAATGCTACACACCAAGGGCTTTGCACACAAGAAACCAGGAAGCCACCGCCTTACTACAGGCAACCCCACTGGTGGACAGACTGCACTTAAACCTGATGTTTAGATATGGACTGACAGTGAGCCACCTGAAGCTGACCATGACATTGGCTGGGTTTATGCAGAGCAGACACAGGCAGTCCGGTCATCAGGCTTCCTAGAACCCTGAACACCACTTGGTGCTGAGTGCTTGGAAGCTCTGTAGGCAGAATCCATCCTTTGGCCAAGCCCTGGCCGCTCCTCCATCAGGGTCCCAGCCTGGTTTTGCATTGGGAAGTGGGTGAGGTGGTACACAGGAAGTCCCACCACTAACTTTCTGGTTTCCTCACAGTTGAGAACAAATGTCACCATATCTACGAAGATGTTCCATGTCAGAAGGAGGAAACCACTGTAAGTAGGGACAGCTCCCCTCTGGGACCCAGGGAAGCTTAGCTTTCCGCTGTAGATCCATCCTTGTGAGCTGTGCTTTCTGCTGTGCATGTACCATTGTGGACTTCGGTTTACATTCAGTTTCTATTTTGTCTAAGTGCTGGCATACACTCATGACCGCTCATGTCCTCCTTGTGTTCCAAACTCAAACTAGAGAGAGGGAGAGACAGAGACAGAGATACAGAGACAGACAGATGGACAAACAGAAACAGAGACAGAGAAAGGGGAGGGGGGTAGAACCACATCTTGGCCATCATCTCTATGGGAGACTGCCTTTCCTGTACCTTAGATCCCCAGCCAGCCTACAGACTAACCGCCATTGGTGCAGCCAGTGTAGGAAAACATGATGAGCCATGTTCCCTGAGTCCTCTTGAGGACTGGGTAGTTTGGGTAGCTCTGTCTCACCTGACCCCTGGTACTAAAGATGCACAGAATTAGAAGGCTCCAAAGTGACCTAACCCGGTCCTCTGTATAATGCTAGAACTGATTCCGTGAAACACGTCTCTAACAATTTCCTTCTAACTCAACCCTATTCTGGCTTGAATATGAATAAGATTCACTTGGAGAACTTGTTTAACCAACAGTTTCTTGAAGGGTATGGTAGTGTAGGCCGGTAACCTCAGCATTTATGAGACTGAGGTAGGATGTGCCAATTTTAAGCCAGCCTGGGCAACGTAATGAGTTTCAGTCTCAGAAACACTAGGCCTGGGGACTGCAGCTCAGTGATAGTTTTTGCTGTGCACATGCAAGACCCTGTGTTCCATCCCAAACACTGAAATATGCAAATTAATGGCTTCTTAGTCTCCTACCCCAGGGGCTTTGCTTTCATGGATTTGGAGTGAAGCCAGACTGCAGTGAAAAGTAGCCTCCGGGTGGGGTGGGGGTGGGGCGGATAGATGGGGACACCAGTGCTTCTCAGCTCAGTGGTGGGAAAGGCAACTCTCCCAGCCATCCCTTCCCAGAGGCTCTGCATGCCAATTGTCACAGCCCGTATCTTCGTAAAGAAAAGGTTTACTTATCTTTATGACTGTGAATGTTTTGCCTACCTGTATATGCACCATGTGTATGCAGTGCCTGAGGTGGTTAGAAAAGGGAATCAGATCCCCTGGGACTGGAGTTACAGACAGGTGTGAGCTGTCCAGACCCTCTGGAAAAGCAGCCAGTGTCCTCAACCACTGAGCCATCCATCTCTCCAGCCTGTGTTCTGCATCTGCTTTTTTGTTTTGTTTGTTTTGTTTCCAGTTTGGTTGTTCAAGACCAAGGGTTTCTCTGTGGCTAGTTCCTAGAACTAGCTCTTGTAGACCAGGCTGGTCTCGAACTCATGCCTGTCTCTGTCTTCCGAGTGCTGGAATTAAGCATGCGTCACCACCGGGCTATGTGTTCTGCCTCTGCCCTGTCCCGGCCATCCCAACTGCTATCCTGTCAACACTCATCTGCTTTCTTCAATTCTCAGGGCTTCAATCAGCAAATCCTCTCCAGTGAGGATGCCGAGACCATCTGCTACGCTTCCCTCATCCACCTCAACCACGTGAGCCCTCGGAACCCCATCTCTAGCAACACCCAGCCCTACCTGAAACCGTCGCCTGACCCCCTTCTGTCTGTGGAATATGCTAGCATCTCTAGAAGCAGACTCCAGTCTTCCAAGGCAGCTGCCCTGGAGATGGATCCCGAGAACTGAGGGCTGAGGCTATGTCCTAGCAGAGGAGCAACTTCCTACAGCATAGATGGTCCAGACTGTTAGGGCCATGCTTTCCTCAAGGAAGATGACCAAAAGTACAATGGAGAGGGCCTGGGGACCCTGGTCTCTCCCCTCTGGAGGCCTAGGATCAATGCCACTAGGACAGTCTACATGGATAGAGACCTGGGCCAGTTTCTCTCAATGACTCTGGCCTCCCTTCCTTTGGTGACCACCCCTTCCTTCCTCGGTGGCCCTTGAAACCCAGGCAGATTGTGTAAGTTCCCCCAGGGACTCTAAGTCAACTGGGATCTCTGCCCAACCCTTAGCTCCTCCCCACACCAGCCTGGCTCCTATTTCTAAAACCATCCTGCTCTGGGAACTCTGGTAACCCTGACAGGAAGAACACTAAGATGTGGGCAGCGCCCATCAGTGGCCTGTCTTCTGAGACATTTCCAACCATGGCGGAACCAGGAGCTTTCTTAGCATAGCCAGGCACCAGTCTCTGTGAGAGCACATCCGGGTGCTCTGCCTTCGAGAGGGACGGCCATCCTCTCTGCTGACTGTGTCTAACTGCACCATCTATGCCACACCCACCTTCCAGGACCCTCGCACTGAAGATGCCATCCCCTCAGCCCAGGCCCCTCACCACTGTGAGGCAGGCACTCAGACCAAGGGAGGCAGGGTCAGGGCAGGAGTTGGATGCCGTGAGTATGGCCCTGCTCCTGGGGACCCATCCCCACCCTGCCTGCTCATGTCCTCCTCGTGCAACACAGATTTGACTGGGAAAGACTGGGTGACTACTATCCCTGACGGGAGGCCCGCTGTGTCTCGCCTTGGAGTCGTTGCTCTTTGCCTATGGTCTCACCTGACCTCTGGTCCTCCGTGACTCCTAACAGGGCCTTTGCTCTTGGTCTGGATTTCAGTCTACATGGCCCCCTAAGAGTCCCCTTTTACTGAATGTCCCTTGAGCATGTCTACGACTCATCCTGAGGGTTGGGCTCTCATGAGCTGTTAGAACCAAAAGGGCTTTCTCAGACTGGAACTCCTAGAGCTGACTACGATGTTTTCACTGGGCCAGGCTCTGCACTCAAGCTTGAGGAGAGAGATTGAGTCTAGGATGTATTTGGGAACACTTACAAAGTGCCCCATGCTTCTATGTGGATGAAGAGCGCAAATATCCCTATTGGTGCCCATTCCTGCCTTTTACAGATGGACGTAGACTGGGTCCCACAGGTAATAAATGGTAGGTTGCAGATCTTAGAGTTTTTACCATTGTGTTTCTGGTCCCTGTTTCTTCAATGATCACTTTGTGTATGTATTGGGGGAGATGTGGATAAACAAGGACAATCATGGCTTAGTTGGAGGGATGCACTAGGGACCAGGTTAGGACAGGGGAGCAGGACCTAAGTGACCTAAGCCTTAAGATGCAGGAGACAAGATGGGAGCCACTTACTCTGCTGAGAGGTCTAGGTGAGCGATTCCTAATTTGCCAGTGGCTCCAGAGAGGACAACTTGAGCTCCTTCCTGCTCTTCATCTGTTACACTGAAGGCCTGGGGGCCATTCCAGGGCTGTGCCCTTGGGATGGTGGACTCATCTCTCCTTACCTTGGGCATCCACAGCAAGCCAGCACCCTATACCAGGGGTGTTTGGGGAGAAAAGCAGTGTCTTGGTTTCATTTCCTGTTATAAATGAGCAAAGGGTAAGCTGGACTCACAGCCAAGGACACATTCCACAATGGTGGGGATGTTCTGATGTTCTGGCAGTGGGGGGTGGGGAGGTGGGGGGGTGGGGGTCGGGGGTGGGGGTGGCTCTCTGTGTTGCAGTTTTGCAATTAACAGTCTCCTCTTCATTTTTTTTAAACCATGCTTTGAAATGTTCAGACTTTATATTGCTTTCGGGGTGGGTCTTCCCACTTTCGTCAGCCTAAACCAGATATTCCCCCACAGGCCTGGCAGAGGCTGGTCTCTTTGGTGACAACTATCCCAGAGCAGAGATGTTTCTTGATCTTTTGAGCCCCAAGAGGCCTCCATGAGCAGGCCCTGAGGGTCAGCCTTCACTCCCCCCCCCCCCTTGCTCAGGAAGCCTCAGGTGCAGATTGCATCTTCAACCTCTCCCTTTCCTCCTGAGGGCTCCTTTAAAGTCACCTCCCCAGAGACAGCCACAGCAGTAGCAACAAAGTAAAATCAAACCCCAGAGACCTCCAGAGGTTAGGCGTGTGGCACACACCTTCAATCCCAGCACTCGGAGGCAGAGGAAGGTGGATCTCTGTGAGTTCAAGGCCGGCCTGGTTAACAACCCTGTCCGCCAGACCTTGCCTCAAAACAACAGCAATAACAAAAACATAGCTAAAGATGGATTCGTGGAACAGGCTATGGCAAGAAGGAGTGGTCGTACCCTGCCAGGAGCCAAGACTCACCACAAAGCTGTCAATGTTTACCGCTGTATTTGGAATGGAAAACCGGCTGAGGCAACTGGGCTGAAAGAGAGAAACAGACTGTGGCTCTTAGGTGTGGGAGGAGTGGGGTTTGAGGGAGCAAACATTCCCAGTCTGGGGAAGGCTGACAGAGCTGTCATCTACCCATATGGGGGAAATTAAAATTAGATTCCTACCTTATGTCTTACACAAAAATACATTCCAGATGGAGCAGGAGCTCAATGTGAAGAGCTGAACAATAAAGCCTTTAGACAAAAGTTATAAGCATTTATAGGAGCAGAGTGGCGCATACCTTAATCCCCACACTCAGGAGGCAGAGGCAGGCGGATCTCTGTGAGTTCAAGGCCAGCCTGGTTTACATAGCATGCTGGGACAGCCAGGGCTACATAGCGAGAATCTGTCAAAAATAATAGTAAAAGAATTTCTATTCTTTCAGAGTGGAAAAGATTCCTTACAAATCATCAAAGGCACAAACCAGAAGTCATACGTTTGACTTTATTAACATTGAAAACATGAGTACCAAAGAAGATTCCAGAAACTCAGCTACAGGATGAACTATAGACAAAGCAGGATCCACAGTGCACACAGCTGGGAAAGATCACTAGCCCAAATTAACGACACGCCTTTCAAATTCACAAAAAAGGAGGTCGAGATGATTTAGTGCGGGAGCCTGGCCACGTGAGTTTATCCCAGAACCTATGCAAAGATGCATGCAGAGAGCTGACTCCATAAAATGGTGGTCTAACTCCACACACGTGCCATGGGGCCAGGCAAGATGCTTCAGTAGATAAGGTACCGGCTGCTGCGTGGAAGGAGCGGCTGACTCCCACAGGCCTTCCTCTGCGTGTGTGCTGTGGCAGGCACATGTGTGTCCCTCCTCATCGTATTTCTTTTCATCAAAACAAAGGCCAAATCATTGCAACTGCAATGGAGGAAGAGTATGCCTGCGCAGCAGGCGTAAGTGAGCATTTGAGGAATACCACACGGTTAATTTACCAGCAACAGCAACCAGAAAAACAGACGTGTCAGCCAGAAACACTGGTGTCCACCAGGCTGCCCAGAGCCTTCGGATGTGGCCCCATGACAAGGCACTTGCCTGTTATGTTAAAGGCCCTCGATTCAATTCTCAGAACCCGTGTATATATTTACACCCATATGATAAATATTTACATACACGATACACATTTATGCACACTATAATATATTTACACATACATGCTATGTATTTACACACACATGCTGTATTTTTACCAGGTCCATGGAGATGCGCATAAATGTTGCACACTTTCTCCCTGTCCTCTGTCCTTGCCTCTCCTCTGCCTGCTTGCTATCCCTTCCCATTCCCTTCCCTTCCTTCCCTTCCCCTTTCTCTCTTCTCTCCTCCCTTCATCTCTCCCAGCCGATTGCTGGAGCAAACTGCTGCACTCCCAAGAAGCCAGCGGGCACTTGTTTGAGGAGGCCTCCACAAGCAAGTCATAGGAGGTGTCTCCTTTTGTGGTCTCTGGAGTCCCATCTAGGGGGCAGAGAGGTACCCGAGGATGCACTGCGCTAGTCCAGGACACTAGCAAGCATGTTGCGCTTTTTTTTTTTTTTTTTTTTTTTTTTTGGCCTGATTCATGGTCCCCTGTGTTTTGTTTGCCTGCTGCCTTGGGACACCAGAGAAAAGTCACTTTGCTGCCTGGTTCTGGGATGCTAGTGATGGAGATGGAATTCCGGCAAGCCAAGTTAAATATAGGAATGAAGGTGGCTACTGCATGTTTTGTTTTTACCAGTGTCTTTTGGCTATGTGAACACTCTGTGTTCTACGTTTACTGATTATTTTTTTTTTCTGTGCCTGTCTCTTCTAATCTGCAGCTGCTGCAGGGGCCTACCAGGCCTCAGCTGTCCAATAACTTGGGTGCCCATGTACCTACTTTGTTTGCCCTTGGTCTGCATTAGGTGCTAGTTAGGATGACTTGCTCCAAGAAACACCACAGCAGGCAGGCTGTCACTGGGCTGGGGGGGCGGGGGCACTCAAGGGCAGGGAAAAAAACTCCTGAGACCCAAGGTGTAGGAGGCTGGCCTCTGTGTCTGTGTGTGTGTGTGTGTGTGTGTGTGAGTGTGTGTTAGTGTGTTAGTGTGTGTGTGAGTGTGTGAGTGTGTGTGTTGTGTGAGTGTGCATGTGTGAGTATTGTGTGAGTGTGCATGTGTGAGAGTGCATGAGTGTGTGCATGTGAATGTGTGTGAGTGTGTGCGTGTGTGAGTGTGTGTGTGTGAGTGTGTGTGTGTGTGTTTACCGACTAGCCTAGCACTTTGACCACTTCCTATGGCTGCATATCCTGTTCCCAGATTGCTCTGGTCCCTCCCTCTAGTCACTGAATTCAATTTAGCAGGGATTCGAATGTCTTTAGATATGAATAATACTGAAATATTGTTTTATGCTGTATTGCTTTATTGAAAAGCTTACTCTGGTGTTGGTTATGGCTCCTCCTTCTCTTAAAAGTTTCCTGTTAGTCCTATGATAGTTGAGCCACCACATTTTATAATGTAAAAAAAATGGGCAAACCAAAAAACAAAAGCCAAAATAAATAAGATAAATAAGTAAATAAAGACTTTGTGACTTTCTAAGACTTTTGCTAAAATATAAACTTGGTCTCAAGATTTACAAAACTATTATGTGAACTTTATGTACCTCGATATTTGTAAAATTATTGAGTGTGGTTAAAAATTTACAGTCTATAACAAAAGGTTACTTAAAACTTATAACAAAAGGCTAACTAAGCACTTGTAACAAAAAGGGCTGAGAATTAAAAATCTATATATGAGCAATTTTAATTTACTACAACATACTGTATATATGATTTAGACTTAACTCTTATTTGGAAAAAATTGGGAAACAACACTAAAAGACTATAACAAATACATATTCCTCAGTCAAGGTAACAAAAATGAGGTTTTGTTTACTTTGGTCAATAACTATTTGCTCTTAAAAAGATACTAAGTAACAAATTTTCTCAATGTCAATGTTATCTCAAATGCCATGTATTAAACCAAAATGTTTATCCCTAAATGTCCCAAAATTCATTGAGTCTGCATTTATCAAGCCAGAGATGTTGTCATTTGATATATGCAAAATCCTTCTATTAATTCTCACAATTCTTGTTTACACTTTAGAGGACTAAGCCAAAAAAAAAAAAAGTCAAGACAAATTTTGATGCCAACTTGATAGTCACTCATAGGGACCAACATCCCTCGTTGGGTCTTCTGATTGGAATATAGCTTAGAAGTGGCTGAGCCTTAATGTCATGAGATGGGATCTGGCCACGGTTTTGGACAGATGAAGATGGCAAAAATCTACATTACTGCAGATAAATGATGAAAAAGCTGGAGTTGGGGCCACAGCTATCAGCACAAGAACTTAAGGCATTTTCTTTCTGGGGAAGCCGAGAGCATCTGTCACTGCGTCTAGCAAGCGCCTCCCTCTGCCCCGAGGGTTGCTTCCTCTCTGTTATTTTTACACACACATAAAAAAGAGGACTTTCATTGTCTGGCATGGCCAGGATGTTACAGCAAGTGATTTCTAGGTAGCCTAGCTATCTACAAACAACCATGTGATTTTTATCACCCGAAGAACCGTTGGAAACCTTAAAAGGTCCTCACAGAAGCAGGCTCCTAAACAGAGTCTAGGGAAAACATGGTTAAAAGGGGCTCCAAGGCAAACCAGCAGGGAGATGATGATAAAGGACAAAAATAAAAGAAACTGAGGGGAATGGAGGCTTGAAATGTTGGTCCCATAGGAAGCAGCAGAGCAAAGACGGCTTCTCAGAGACTCTCTGTCTGGCCTTGAAACATAGA